AAGACAAACATCAATTTGTTGTCTCACTCATCCATGCACTCATTGATTGATTCTTTTTTTTTTCTTTATTAGTTTGAGAGAGAGAGGAAGGAAGAGAGAGAGAGATAGAAACATCGATGAGAGAGAACATCGATGGGCTGCCTCCTGCATGTCCCCCACGGGGGATTTGGCCCACAATCTGGGCATGTGCCCTGACTGGGAATCAAACCAGTGACTTCTTGGTACATGGGTCAATGCTCAACCACTGAGCCACACCAGCCGGGCTCATTGCTTGATTCTTGTATGTGCCCTGACCAGGGATCAAAGCAGCAACCTTGGCATATTGGGACAACACTCTAACCAACTGAGCTACCCAGCCAGGGCAAAAGTTGAAAAATATTGCTTTAAGCCTCAAATCTTAAGAAAGCCAATCTGTCCCACCTCTTCAATTGACCCTTTCTTTCTTTAAACATAGTCCTTCCAATAACATAAGGAATATTACTGGCCGTAGGAGTTAGACTTCCTAAGAGTAAAGCCCTATTCTACCCCTTAGTTGCTGTGTGTCCTTGGGCAAGCACTTAACCTCTCTGTGCATGTTTCCTTACCTGTAATGGGAATGCAAATAGGTACTTCTAAGTTCACTTGGCTGAGGATTGAATATGGAAACAGTGCCTGCACACAGGAAGCATCATCAGTGTCAGTGGTACCAAGGCACCCTCCTTTGGGTGGTCCTTGCCCAAACAGCTGAGCAAGGCCCTCACACAGAAAGAGACAGAAACTGAAGACAAAACAATTGTACCACCTCTAGCTGGAGCAGAGCTGCACCAAAAAGCCCTCCCCACACGCCAGCCCCCTCTCCCCCTCTGCCCCCGCAGTCATCAAGGACGCCTGGTGGCCATAGCTGCTGTCCTTTTACCCACAGGGCACTGGATTTCACTATAAATGCGACCTAGTCCAAGGGCACCATTCTGGGGTCATTAGTAATGACTGTGTGCCAGCAGCCCAGTGACAAGCTGCTAGGCACCAACAGTGCCCAGAAACTGCTACCTGAAAAAACAAACGTTTTAAACGCTCATGCAGAAGGAGAGTGGAGAGGATTATTTCATTTCTTTAGGTGACAAAGATGGAAAAAAATCCCTCGAAGCATGTAATGCAGGGACCTAAGAGCAAGAGACTAGGGCCTCGCACTACTGGTTGCCATGGCAACTGTATTTCACAGCAGGAACTCATTTTCATATGACAGTGACCTGTGGAGGAAAGGGAAGGACAGCTCTTAAAGAAACTTAGTTGAACAGGAAACTGGGGTGGGAGGATTGATTCTGTTTACCAAAAGGAGCATTTCAAAGTACTACCTTAAGGGGCCGAAATGACCTGAGGGCCCCTAGAGATTCCCTGTTCTACAATTCTTACTTAAGACACGGACGCGCGCGCGCGCGCGCACACACACACACACACACACCCCTCTCTCATGCACCATGCTTGGCCTATTTCAAAGGCCTCTGGGGCAGATGTCACTGGTCCCACCATTAACCATCTCTGGATGTCACAGGGTCCCTGAGTCACTGGTCTCAGTATTAACCATCTGTTTCGTGACAAAGTCCTTTCCTGGAGTCCAGCAGTGTCCCAAGCAGCCCACTGACCAAGCTACCAGGACATCCCACACACAAGTGCCAAGAGGACCTGTAACACGCCCTGGACTCAAGCATACGCTTTCCTGGAGAAATAGCAAATCGTAATATTGAAGAACAGCCCCGGGCATCAGACTTGAGTTCCAACCTCTGCTCTGCCCACCTACAAGCTGTATGGTTTAGGCAGGTGCAGAGACCTCTCTGGGTCTGTGTCCTCATGGGCAGAATGAAGACAATAATCATAGCTCCTACTCTTTTGGGCATTGGTAGGGTACCACGCATGAAGAAACGCCTGGAAAACCAGCACACGCCCTACACGTAATGACCGCTCAATAAACAGCAGTTACGATTCAGAGCTAGAAAAATAACTCACATCCATGATCTGATTGGAAGCGAATAGCAGAGAACAAGGTATTAACTTGGGTGGCACCAACTGTAATGAATCCATCAATAAGCCCAGCAGGGGGGCAGAGCAATGGGATCTGGAGGGCTGGGCCAGCCCAGCAGGGAGGTGGAATCCGAACCACTCGGAAGGATGACGGGAGGTGTTCCTGGAGGTTTGGAGGAGGGAGTTCCTGTACTGAGTGCCTACAGAGTACCCATCCCGGGAACCAGGAGGAAGGCAAGAGGCTTCAGTGACACAAAGGGACCTGCGACTAGCAAACAGACAGCTGTAACAGTGCACGGTGGGGTGGGAAGGCCAAAAAGGGAGCCCAGTGCAGCTGGGACAGGCTAAGCTTTCCCAGGTACAATGGCATCTGAGCTGGGTCTCAAAGGGTAAGGGCAAGAGGCCTGGCTAAGGGAGCGAATGGAATAGATGCGGGAACTGAGAACTGGTTCTGAAGACTGAGGCCACATGAAGGAGGGGCCACACGGGTAGATAAACGAGCCAGCATTGGTGGGAGGAAACCCAGAGCTTCTGAAGATTTCTTAGGGGACATGGCTCAACGACAGGGCAAACGCACTAGTCAGGGACCATGAGACCAGAGGCGACATGCCCAATGGACTGTGGGGACTGGAGAGGCCTCTGAACTCTGGCCTGAGATGTTCAAGGCGGGGGAGGGGCAGAGACACTTCAGAGAGAGGGAGTGTAACAGAGGAGGAAACCGAAGCTGAGTGAGGGCAGTTGCCTAGCAGAAGGAGCAGGGCAGCCTCGGACCTGCTGAGTTTAGGGTGTCGCTGGGCACCCAAGGAACCAGGACTTTAGCTGGACCCCAGAAGGGGAGTTCCCTGAGAAGCTAAACACCAGGCCTCACAAAATGCCCCAGAAAAGAGGAAAGAGGGGTCAGAAGAGGAGAAGGAAAAAGGAGAAATAAGAACAAAGCCAGGAGGGAGGGGTGCCCCAGAAATCAGCAGAGAAGGTTGCAGTGAGGACACATGCACACAGGGGTCCACTTCCTGGGCAGATGGACAAACAGACAAAAGAGCAGTGTTTAAAACAAGATGACTTTCAGGGAAGCAGTTACAGCAAAGTGCTGGGGCCAGCAGCCAGGCCGCTGAGGATTAAGAGGGGTGGCGAGGAGCTGAGAGGGAGGCAGCTGGTGCAGGGCACTTGGGCAAACGTGACAGAGAAATAGAGGGAAGGAAGCCAGGGCTCCCATGCATGTTTATTTCCCTCCCAAAAGATGGGAGGCCAAAGGGTGTCAGAGGAGGGTGGAGGGACATGAAGACCTGGTTAAGGACACAATCTCTCAAGGTGTGGGCGTGGCCAGGGACACCCAGACTCCTCCAGCCCTCAGACTGCTGGAGCCTCACAGATAACCTGATCAATCCCTCTGGCCCTGAACCTCACTGAGGATGGGCTTCCCCCGTCCACATCACACATCTCCTGGGGGGCAACCTCTGGGGTGGGGCCTATCAGACCACCCAGGTGGGTAAATCGGCTCCTCAGCCTCTGGGCAGCCAGGCTGCTGGGGTCAGAATTCCCAGACTTCCCAGCAGGGTCCTCCCTGCAGCCCGAGAGAGGAGGCTTCCACCCTCCCAGAGCGGGTGTCATGGGCACCTTTGTGAGCCAAGAGCCTTCATGCTGAAGTGCACAGGATGGATTGCAACAGTACCTTCAAACCTTCTGCCTGGGAAAAACAGAGGTGGCCTGAGTGTCGGCAGCGGGTTTAGGGAGCACTGAAACCACACCCGGGGCATGCTCTCAGGCTGGAAGAGGTAGGCGAGGTGAACGGAGGAAACTGGCCGGTGACAAATTCCCCCATCCTGGGCACCTCACCATGGGCGAAAGTTCAAATGTCCCGGCCTGGGCCCGGGCCCGCCACGGCGCCCCGCGCCAGTCATCTCGAGAGCGGGATCCTCACCAAAGGCCAGGCGGAGGGGAGGGGGCGCCGGGCGCCGGCGCGGGCACGGCCAGCCAGCAACACCCGCGCTCCCGCCGCACGTGCGCGCCCCAGCGGGCGCTGGGTGAACCTCGCACTTGTTGACTCGCGCGCCCGCAGGCTCACCCCAGCGCCGCCTGGTGTCCGAGGCCGCCCTCTCCTGCCCTCGCGCCCTCTCCCCTCCCCCACCCGGCCACCCCCGCGGCCCCCACCTCGGGGCGCACCACGGGCTCCCCGGCGGGGCCCCGGCGGGGCAGCGGCCGAGACGCAAAGCGCCAGCCGTCCCAGGGATCGGTCCAGGCGCTGCCCGCGTCCCGCCGGCCCGGGGCTCGCTCCCTCCCTGGGCTCAAAGAGCTCCGAGCTCCCGTCCACCGCGCCGGGGCCACCCTGCGCGCCCCCTCGGCCCCCGCCACGGAGCCAGACCAACTCCCCAGCCCTCGGGGACTGGGCCCGGCAGGGGTGGGAGGGCCCACTTTAGCCAGACTTACCTGCGGGCTCGGCCCGGCCGCCTGGCGCGCGCCCTGGCTGCCCCCTGGCGGCGGCCGCGGGACCCGGGCGCCCGCCCCGCCCCGCCCTTCTCCCACCTGGAACCTATTGCCACGGGCGGGAGAACCCCGGCCTCAGGTCACCTGGTGGGCGGGGCCCCTCCCAATGGATATCCTCGGAAGGCCTGGTCCCGAAGGCCCCTTATTATTGGATAACAAACATCACTCTCTTTTCCCTAAGCGGCTTCAAGTGCTTACTTTCTAGCACTACAGGATCCTAGAAGCTCGTTCTGTGTATTTCCTGCCCAGTCCTAGAATCAGCCGTTTCTCTGAAGAGCCTTGCTTCCTTTTCCTGGGGAATAGGATTAGAAACCAGAGCTTCCTTTTCCTGGGGAATAGTATTAGAAACCAGAGCTTCCTTTCCCTGGGGAATAGGATTAGAAACCAGAGCTGGGGGCTGGGTATGCTCTTTGCTACTGAAGCCATTGCGTTTTATCGTTAAATCACCTACAGCAGGCCAAGGAACTTAGACCTCCCTATCCCATTGAGTGGTCTTGTCTGCTTATTCTCTGAGGTTTGGGACCATGGCTTCAGAGACCGGCCTTGGACCCCAGGCCCTGGAAAGGAGGTAGGCAGTGAGAAGGCCGTCTCAGTCCCCAGGTACACTGGGGAGGCCTCAGAGTGACCTGCAGGTCAAGGCCAAGGTCTGGGTGCTGTAGATTCGGCTGAGTAATGAACATCCAGCCAGCGGTGGCTGCGGGGTTGCAATCTAGAAATAAATGGGCCCATGAAAAATAAATAGCAACAGGAGGCAGGGCCCAGTAGGCATGGTGACTCCGGAGTTTCTTGGGCAAGAGGGCATTACTGTGGGTATTTGGCTAAAGAAGGCTTCTAGTTATGTGTTTGAGAGATGTCTATACTTTTATTTTTTTGAGATGTTTATACTTTTTAAAAATATTTTTAAATTTTATTTATTGATTTTAGAGAGGAATGGGGGAGAGAAACATCCAGTTGTTGTTCCGCTTACTTATACATTCATTGGTGGGGTTGCTTTTTTGGGAGGAGGGGTTAATCCTCACCCTAGGATATTTTTTCTATTGATTTTTTTTTTTTAGAAAAAGTGGAGGGGGGTGGTGGAGAGAAAGAAACATCAATGTGAGAGAGACACATCAATTGGTTGCCCGAACCTGCAACCCCAGTACATGCCTTGGACTAGGAATCAAACCCACAACCCTTCACTGCTCTGGCCGATGCTCTAACCACTGAACACACTGGCCAGGGCCATTTGTTGCTTCTTGTTTGTGCCCTTACCAGGATCACACCTGCAACCTTGGGTTATCCGGAGGACACTCGAACCACCTAGCGATCAGGCCAAGGCCCTGAGGCTTATACTTTAAACCAGCTTCTCAGATGTGCCTTGGGGCGTCTGTGTCAGAAACACCTGAGGGCATGTTAAATATGCAGTCACAGGCCCTAGTATTAAATCTGGAGGTGGGGCCTGGAATCATGTTCAACGTGTTCTCCCAAGAATTCTGATTGCACCGAGGTTGACCTTTTCAAAAGCACTGAGAAGTCGACAGTCAGGAGGCCCCTGAAGAGAGAATCTATCTGCTCTCCTGCAGGTACCACCCTGACCCCACGCTGCCTTTGGTGCTTTGTTTGGCCATGTGTGGAACATTGGAACAAACATATGGCTCGTTTTTGAGGCTCTAACAATCTCAGCAGGAACAGCCCCATTGACGTCTCCCTTCCTTCTGACAGAGACTCTCCTGGGCCAAATTTTAGTCAGGTTTCTCTGAGCCCACTTCTCGACTAAGGCTTTAACCTTGGCCCGCAATAACTGCAACTCAACACAACGATTCTGTCCACCCCTCAACACACAGAGGCTGGAAAAACCAAGCTAACACTGTGTCTAGCAGCCTAAGGCCTCCCTGTCCCTGGGATGACCCAGCCCCACCTTGAGTTCCTATCTGAAAACAACTCAAAGCTTCCAAAACAATTTATCATTCATTCCAGGCGACATCTGTGCTAGGCCCCTGACCTCCATTTTCTTAGAGCATTTATGTTTAAAAACTTAATTTTGTAAATTTTATCTCCGTACTTTGAGATGTACATGTGTCAATGGACAGGGACTGGCCCAAGTAGGGTGCAGGTTCTTGAATTCATGCAGGAAAGATGTCACAACATGAGTCCAGGTAATCTTTAGAGTGTATTTGTTAGCCTGGCCCGTGTGGCTCAGTGGGTTGAGCGACATCCCATGGACTGAGAGTTCCAGGTTCAATTCCTGATCAGGGCACAAGCCTGGGTTGCAGGCTCGATCCCCAGTAGGGGGCGTGCAGGAGGCAGCTGATTGATGTTTCTCTCTCACATCTCACATCGATGTTTCTCTCTCTCTCCCTCTCTAAAGAAATCAATAAAATCATATGATTTTTAAAAAGAGTATATTTATTAAAGCTGGGGACAGTGAAAACACAGGAGAAAAGAAAGAGTTCACACCTGAGATAGGCCTGGGCTTGCTCCAGAGAGAGCCCCCTTTGTGCTGAGAGAGTCTTTGTCTTTGTCTTTGTCTTTCTCTCTCTTTTGCAGGTTGGGACCCTAGGGGACATCTCAGGAGGGTTTCAGCAGAATATTAATCAGCTTTCTAGGTGTTTTTTAAAAATATGTCGATGTACCGCCCTGGCCGGTTTGGCTCAGCAGTTGGAGTTTCGACCTGCGGTCCAGAGAGTCCCAGGTTCGGTTCCCGTTAAGGGCACATACCTCGGTTGCAGTTTGTCCCCGGCCCTGGTTGGGTTGTGCGGGTAGCAGCCACTCGATGTGTCCCTTTCACGTTGATGTTTCTCTCTCTCTCTCTCTCTCTCTCTCTCTCTCTCTTCCTCTCTCTCCCTCCCACTCTATCTGACCAAAAAAATGGAAAAATGTCCTCAGGTGAGGATAAAAAAAAAAATTAAATACGTCGATGTACCAAAATGAGCGCATAGAGGGACCAGGGGCATTTTCTGGTCAGCTTTGCCTCTGTCTTGGATTTGTTTGACTCTAATTGGGTCTTTTGTTTATTCCCTGACTTTCTTCGTCCTTGGGTTTGGCTGGCACTAACTGGGTCTCTGTTCTCTACCTCCCTGACCAGGGTGATTTAAGCTATTTCCTCTGTGGTTGGGGAGGAGAGGTGTAAACTATCTGCTCTCAAGTGTCCTTGGTTAGGGAAGGTAAGATCTTATGATTTACTAGCTGACTATAAATTGCTTGACTTGTCTGGCCCTATTTGTCTAACCATTTGTCTTAGTTTCCCTTTTCCCACTTGTCAAAAAAAAAAAAAAAAAAATTCTCCTAACATCTAAGTATCTTGCTTCACATGTGTCTCCCAGAACCCAGAAGTGTCTTTCTGAAGGGCTTGGGAGTCAATCCTTCAAAGTGTAATTTTATGTTAAAGAAGTTCTATATTAAAGAAGTCTCTTGGCCTTGCCGGATAGCTCAGTTGGTTGGAACGCTGTCCTGATACACCAAGGTGGTGAGTTCGATCCCCAGTCAGGGCACATACAAGAAGCAACCAAAGAAAGCATAAGTAAGTGGAACAACAAATCACTGTTTCTCTCTGTCTCTCTGTCCCTGAAATCAATACATTTTATTTTATTTTATTTTATTTTTCAATATTTTTTCTTTATTGATTTTATTTATTTACTTAAAAAAAAATTTTATCCTCACCAGAGGACATTTTTACATTTATTGTCAGATAGAGCAGGAGGGAGAGAGGAGGGAAGAGAGAGAGAGAAACATTGATGTGAGAGGGACACGTCGACTGGTTGCCACCCACACTACCCCAACTGGGGCCGGGGACAAACTGCAACTGAGGTACGTGCCCTTAGCAGGAACCAAACCCGGGTTTCTCTGGTCTGCAGGCCGAAGCTCTAACTGCTGAACCAAACCGGCCAGGACTCTTTATTGATTTTAGAGAGAGAGCAAGGGACAGGGAGAGAGAGATAGAAACATTGCTAAGAGAGAACATCAATTGGCCGCCTCCTGCATGCCCCCCACTGCATGTGCTCTGACCAGGAATCGAACCGGTGACCTCCTGGAGCATGGATTGACGCTCAACCACTGAGCCACACCGGCAGGCCGGGCAAAATTGATACATTTTAAAAGAAAGAAATCTCTTCCTCCTACTGCAGCAGTACTGAGTAAAATCTGTCTTTCCCACCATTAACTAGTGTCCATCTTTGTTCTTCTTTCCAGGAATGTTCCTGGTGAGAGGGAGCCTTGGAGTTGCCACCAACAGCCTCTGGGACTCAAAGTTAAATAGCAGCCCACAAAGACAAGCATGAGGACAATTGTTCAGCTGTCATCCAACAAGGCCCAGATCGAGGATTTTCCCTTGCTTAGGCAGGGAGACAGCAGCATAAATCAACAAAAACTAATACAGGAAAAAACTTAGATCTTCGGTTCTGGGAATAGCCTGGAGGTGTAGACACAATGAATTAACATTCTAAAGGACACTAAAGTCCAAAGAGAGGCCCAGCTTCCTCGTTGTCCAGCACTTTCGTACAGATGGGGTGAGGAAGGGGCCGTGCAAACAGAATGTTCAGTGGGTGGGTCCCGCTCCCTGGGGCTTGCAGTGTGAAGGGGCCTGCAGCGATGGCCCAGACGTGAACAACAGATCATCACACTCAAGGAGCACGTGGACCCTGTGTAGTCACTTTGTATGCATCATCTCATAGGTATCATTTTTGTCCCCTAAGCTTACTTACCCAGGCTGGGGGGAGGGGGGCTTGAAAGAGGCCAAGGGCCTGGTGAGGGCTGTTTGTTTAGGGCCACCCAGTGAATGACAGGTGTCATTTCAATGCTTGCAGAGTTACAGGAAGGGAAATACTTCAGGAATACCCAGGCATCCACCGCTGGACCAGGCTGAGGTAGTCACTGGATCACTGCCTTGTCAAGGCAGAGTCCTACGGCACCGTCCCGGCTGCTGGGGGCTGGGGCAGGGCCTTCACAGGGTGTCACTCTCGTTGGCTTTTGCAAAGTGCCTAATATGTTCTGAAATCCGTGTTTTCAAGGAACAGATGTCATCTCTCGGGATCAGCCAGCAGTCGAGAATGTCTCATCGCTGATATTGCACCCAGGCCATTTTGGCTGTTGGTCTGAAGTTCAAAGCAAAGCAGAACAAAACAAAATACACACTATATATGCACTAGGAACTGTGTTAAATGTTTTTCATTTAATCCCCTCAACAACCCTACAGTATAGGTATTCATTATCGTGACTATTTACAAGATGAGAAAGCCAAGGCACAGAAAGGTGACGTAATTACCCAAGGTCACACAGCAAACAACTAGCAGGACTAGGAGTCAAACCCAAGCAGTCGGGTTCCAGGGCCCATGCAAGTATGGGGAAGGAAGTCACTTTCCTTTACCCTCAAGGTTCTTCTGGCTGGACCTGAAACCAGACAACGAATGGGTCGGGCCGCCTGTCCCTACGTGAGCCAACTAAGCAGAGCGGAGACGGGTACGAGCATTTATTCCGACACCGCCTGCAGTAGGGGAGAGAAGTGGGTCATCCCCGAAACGTCTGCTCTGCACTCCCTCAGTAGCTGGTTGTTTATGTGGGGTCGCTCTGCTGGGAAGAGTAGGTGGGCTCCAA